GGGGGGGGAGGGGGGCGGCCAAGGGCCCGGGGCGCCGCCGCGCCGGGGCTGTGCGAAGCCACGCCCCTTCGGTCGAAGGCCACGCCCTTTTGCTTAAACCCACGCCCTTCCCTCAGGTCACGCCCCTTCCCGTAACGCCCTGTCGTTCAAGCATGTCCCGTCCCTCAAGTCCCGCCCCCGTACGAAACTCCGCCCCTCCACAGCCTCGCCTCCTATCCAGGCACTGCACCTTGCTGCCGCTCCCCGCCCTTCCCGTCGTCCCCTGCTTCTCCCAGCGGTCCTCGCGCGTGAAGATGGCGGCTCCGTCAGAAACGTAGGGCTCAGCCCGGTGGTTCCGCCGCGCCGATGGGGCCCCGTGGCCCTAGCGGGCCGCGCTGCTACGCCCTTTACGCCGTCCTGGGTGCCCTGGTGTGCGGTCTGTGGTGAGAGGGCGGCTGGGGGCGAAGCGCGGCCGGGGGGGGAAGGCACGGTTCGGCAAGGCCCGGAGCGCGGTCCTCACGGCGTTTCTGCTCTCTCCACAGGCCGGCGGCGGCGGCGATGGCGGCGAGCGATGAGCGGCGTTCGGGTGAGTGCGGGGGCTCGGGGTGGGCCAGGTGAGTTCCCGGCTGGGCCCGCACTCAGTGGCCGTGCTCTCTCTGCAGCGAGCCCGGTGGCGGCCACGCCGTGCTGGCGGGTGGAGGACTTCGTGGTGGCCCAGGAATGCACCCGCTGCTCCAGCTTCCAGGCGGTGAGTACGGGCAGCGACGGGGCTGCACTCACCCCCAGCAGGGCAGGTCCTGCCCCAGTATGGCCCCTGACGGATTCCTCTTGGTCGCAGAAGACGATAGCGGAGTGCAGCCCCACCGGCTTCATTGAGAAGATTAGCTGTGCCACCTCCAAGAGGGACGAATTCAAGAGGTGAGTGCAGACTTTGCGGCAGCCATGAGCCCCAGAGAGGGGGGGTCACAGGGGGAGACAGGGTTGGATTTGGGGTTGAAGCTTTTCCCTTCAGGGTTCCTAACTCTCCCTATGGGTGCAGCTGTCGCTCCGCAGTGATGGAGGCGCGCGTTTTCTGGAGATTCGTTGGCACCATGATGTGCGTTGCCACCATCTTTGCGGTGCTGGTGGTGTGTCGCCAGCGCGTCCTGGACAGGAAGGCCCTGGAGAAGGTCCGCAAGCAGATTGAGTCCATTTAACAGAGCCCAGCTGTCCTGGAGCGGAGAACTCTGCTCACCTGCTGCTCCCAACCAGGTGGGAGAAGGAACAGGTGCCTGGGGCAGGCCCTGCCCTGCTCTGTGAACACAGGAGTCCTGCTGGGAGCTGCCTCAGATGCCACTGGGGCATCCCGTGGGACCAGCTGAGGGGTGCCTGCCTGCGCGGGGCAGGCCCCTGGGGAGCACGGCGTGTAATAAATCCTGATCGTTGTCACCAGAACAATGCTGGCGTTCATCCCTGGGAGCAATGTAGGGCTGTCCCACTGCGTCCGTTCCCCCGTTGGAGACCTGGCGGGGGGGGGGTGGTGGTTCCATCCCCCATGGCCCCACTATGGGCTCAGCGCCAACCCTCGGACACATGTTGGGGTGCAAACCGGGCACAGGTTTATTCAGTGGCGCACAGCTGCCGGGGGTGGGGGGCACGCCCCCACATCTGGGCTGGGCTGGATGTTGTCCCCCCCTGCACTGCTGCTCCCACCCCAGGGTGGCTCCCAGGGCCCCAAAGCTGGGGCTGTTCTCCACTGCCTGTCACATTTCGTCCCCATGTCCCTGTTTTGCTGTCTGTGCATCCTCAGGGGGGGCCCGGCTTGAGGAGTTGGTGCTTGGCTCCCTGCTGGGGGGGGGCCTCCTGTCCCCGTGCCCCCCCTCAGCTCCATCTTCCTCTGCAGCTGCAGGTCCTGGCTCTTCCACCCTCAGCCACCCCGGCATCGGGAATGGGGCTTCTCTGGCCAGTTCCAGTGGCTGCCCCTGGGTCAGGATGTTCCTGGAAATCACTGTGGGAACAGGGAATGCTGGGGTGGGCAGCACTGGGGTGGGGTGGGGGGAGCTGCAGCTAGTGCCCCTGCCCTGACCGGGGCTCTTACAGCCTCCCTGTTACCTCCGGTGGGCCTGTCACCGTCTTGGTTGCCCCCTGGGCCCCGGCAGAAGGGGCTGTAGCTGGGGAAGAGGATGAGTCCCAGGGAGAGGAGCAGGATCTGCCAGGGAGAAACAGGAACCGTGTGCCCCCGAGTGGTGCTTGGGAGACACCGGCATGCGCGGTGTGCCGTGGTGAGCATGCTGTACCAGGATGCAGGTGCTGGTCTGGGCAGCCTTGTTGGATGTTTGCTTGATCAGCGCCTGTAGCTGCTGCAGCAGGGACCTGAGGGACAAGGGGTCGGCAAGCGCCAGTCCTGGGGTCGTCTCCCCCCTGCCCCTCGCTCATCCCGGCACCGTCCCCACCACAGTGCCCCACGCCACGCTCACCCGTTGTGCTTCTCCAGCTCCTGGACTTTCTTCCGCAGCTCCTGGTTCTGGGCTGAGCACGCGGCCGCCCTGCTGGGGCAGAGACGGGCATGGGTGAGGGGACATGCGCCTGGGGACGTGCTGGCTCGCAGTGCTGCCGGCACCCACCTGCTCTCCAGCCCATCCAGGTACTCCTTCTTCCTCCGCCGGCTGTCCTGGGCCGACTGCTTGTTCCGGATCTTTCTCCTCACCTTCTTCAGGATCCGCTCCTCAGCCTAGGGCAGGGGGGTGGAGGAGTGAGCCCTGCCCCCCAGCCCCTCCCACCCCCTTCCAGCCCCCGCACCCATGCACCTGGGTGAGGGGCAGGGTGCTGGGCAGCGTCACCCCCTCCTGCGCCAGCAGCTGCTTCTCCTCCTCTGTCAGGCACAGCTGCTGAGAGATGGGACATGCATGGGGACAGGCTGGGGATGCCTGGCAGTGTGGGGATGGGGGGGGCGGCTGTGGGGACTCACCGCGGCGCTGGGTGCGGGCAGGGGAGTGGGCAGGGACACAGCAGGCAGGTTGTTGATGCACGAGCCGGGGAGCAGCGTGGGGTACAGCCAGTCATCTGTAAGGGGGAGAGGTAGCTGTGCCCTGCCTGTTCCTGCCTGCCCTAACCCAGGGAGCTGCTCTGCTCCCTGCCCTGCACCATGCCAGCAGGATGCAGCCCCCAGGGCCTGAGCCGTGCCAAACCCCACTGACCCAGCTGGATGGAGATGATGCTGCCATGCTGGGGGGTGCTGAGGTCACAGACCACCTCGTAGAGGGTGGCAGTGGGGGGCTCGGCAGGCTGGGGGGGCTCCGGGTTGGCATCCTGGGAGCTGCAGCTGCCCAGGGAGGTGAGGCAGCTGCTCAGGCTGCAGACGGCGTCGGGGTTCACTGTCGGCTGCAGCAGCTCCTCAGCTTTGCTCCCCTGTAGCCAGAGAGGTGCTGGCAGGGGAGACGGGGACCCCGAGGGTTCCCGTGGCACCCCGCCCACACACACACCGGTGTCCCTCCAAGGGCACACGCACACACGCTTCTCCCTGCCCCGCTCCCCCTCCGACACCGACTCACACCATCCTCGGGGAGCATCCAGCCCTCGAAGGCCAGCTCCGAGCTGGAGAAGGGGGGATCAGGGAAGACGTTATCCGGGAAGATTCCGGCATCCGGTGCTTCTGGCTCCATCACCTGAGCTTAAGGGTGAGCGGGGGCCACCAACCACCCCCTGTGGCGGGGTGCCTGGGGACCCTCCCGAGCCCGGTGCTCTGGGTGCTGCTCCCGCCAGATCCTGGTGAGGGACAGTGGCACCTTCCACCGGCTCCGTGCCCTGACGCAGCAGGGATGGCCCGCCGCCCCCCTCACCTTTCCCCAGCTCCTCGGGGTGTCCCGTTCCCCCCACCTTGGTTCCCGGTTGTGCAGCCGCCTCCGCCCGGTCCCGGGGCCGTGCACCAGGATCTCCGGTATCCTGGGCAAACCCAGCCAAGTCCCACCCCCGGAGCATTACACCGGTAAAGGGCCGGGCTCCCCGGGCTTCTCCCCGCCTTTCCCGTCTCTACCGGGACACAGCGGAGGGTCCGACTGGGCTACCGGGGAGAACCGGGCTGAGGCTGTCCCGGTACCGCGTCCCGGGGAACAACAGCGAGCGATCCCGTGGGGGAACCGGGGGTCCCGGGGGTCGGTTCGCTGCAACTGACGGTGGCTGCAGAACCGGGCCGGTGCCCTCCCGGTAACGGGACCCCCCGTGGGGGACGGGGCGGGGGAACAGAGGATGGACCCCTACCCCGTCTTCTCGTTTTTTATTGGCTGTGATGCGCGTCACTCAATAATACCGTCAGGGTTTTGCGCGTCGCTATTGGCTGCGACGCCCAGTGCCGGCTCCGCCCTCTGGAACACCGAGTAGCGAGCGGTGAGTGCGGGGCCGGGGTGGGACCGGGACCTTGGACCGGGACCGGGGACCGGGACCGGGGTCCGCAGTCCCCGATCCCGGTCTTTGATGCCGATCCCGGCTCCCCAGTCCCGGTCCTTGATCCCGGTTCGCCGTTACCGGAGCGCTGCCCCGCTTCCCCGGGCCACCCCCGTCCCCGCCCCGGGAATTCCCCTCCCAACCCGTCGCCGTGCTCCGGCCACCGGGGGGCTCTGGATGGGGCGGGAGGGGGGGGGGGAGTCACCGGGACCGGGAGGCGGCACCGACCACTCTGACGGTGCCATCCCGTCCCGCTGTAGCTCCGGTTCACCCCGGGGGATGCAAAGCGCTATCGAGACAGTAACGACGGGTCAGAGCTTCTTCCGCGGTGAACATTGAGTTCCCGTACCGAATCCCAGCCGGGATGGCAGTGGAAAACGGGATCGGAACCGGAACCGGGACCGGGACGGAGGTGCTGGCCTGGAGTCCCGGGATAGCTCTGCGGTCCCCGTCCGGGCTGGAGGCGAAGTTGGGCTCATTGGTGCTGCTGCTGCTGTTGCCCCTTGCCTGCGGCCTTGCCCCGCTCTGCTGCTTCCGACAGCCCCCCAGCTCCGCCGGTATGGCCGGAGAGGGACCGGGGGCGGGGGGGGTCGAGGTGTCCCGGGAAGGCTGGGGAGGGTGTCTCAGGGATCTGGGGTGTCTCGGCGGGGAGGGTTAGGGGGAGCTGGAGGGGGCTTGGAGTGTCCCAGGGGTTTGGGGGGTCCTGGAGGAGCTGGGAGGGGCTGAAGGGTCAGGGGGGTCCCAGGAGTTTGGGGGGTCCTGGGGAGGCTGGGGGCCTCAGAGGTCTGGAGAGTCTTGGAAGGTCTGGGGGGGTCCCAGGGAGTCTGGGGGGGCCTGGGGGTGTCCAGTGGGGTCCAGGGGTCTCAGAGGGTCCCAGGGGTCTGGGACAGGCTGGGGACGGGACTGTCACCTGGGGCTGGGCTGACCCCAAGGGGCCTGGCACGTCCCAGGGTGCGGGGCTGTGGTGGGGGGTCTCAGTGGGGGTCTCAGTCCCTCCTGCCGGCCCCCCCCAGACGCCCGCAGCCCAGTGCTCAGCCTGGTCAGCTGCTTTGCCGGTGGTGTCTTCCTGGCCACCTGCCTGCTCGACCTCCTGCCCGACTACCTGGCCAGCATCAGCGCGGCGCTGGAGGGGCTGCGCGTCACGGTGAGCACCCAGAAACCACCCCCCAGGGTCCTGCCCCCATCGGTGACCCTGCCCAGGGGGACCTCAGCTCTGTCCTGGGGTTGCCCGGTGTCCCTGTCCCCAGGATCGGGATCAGCAGCCCCGGCTGGGTGCAGGGGGGGGATGTCAGCTGTGCTGGGACAGTAGAGAAGGGACAACAGTGGGGAGGGGTTGAGCGGGGATGGGATGGATGGGATGGCAGGGAGGGTGACGGTGGGGATGGGATGGCACAGAGGGGGACAGATGGGACAACAGGGAGGGGGGTGTTGGGGACAGGATGGTGGGGATGGGACAGTGGGGGGTGGGCAGCAGGATTGGGACGTTGGGGATGGGGACAGCAGGGATGGAGCTGGCAGAGCTGGGCTGGTGGCAGCGGAGCAGCTGGGAGGGGCCAGTAGGGACGAGCCCTCGTGTCCCGCTGTGACTCATGGAAAGATCCTCCCTCTGCCCACGGCTTCCCGGCAGCCTTCCCCAGGCTTCTTCCTTCCCCAGGGCCAGGTGCAGGCAGGGCCGGGGTTGCAGGCAGGCCCTGAACCCCCTTTCCACTGTCTCTCCCAGCTGCAGTTCCCTTTGCCGGAGTTCATCCTGGCCATGGGCTTCTTCCTGGTGCTGGTGCTGGAGCAGGTTGCATTGGCACAGCGGGAAGCGTCATCCATCCCGGAGGAGACGCGGGCGTTGCTTCCCACCGGTTCCATCCAAACCCTTTCACCGCAACCTCCCGTTCCCGGCACCCGGAGTGCCATCCGTGCCGGGTTGTTGGTGCTGGCGTTGGCGTTGCATGCCGTGCTGGAGGGGCTGGCTCTGGGGCTGCAGGAGGCGGAGGGGGCCGTGCTGCGCGTCTGCCTGGCGCTGGTGCTGCACAAATGCGCGGTGGCCTTCAGCTTGGCACTAAAATTGTTACGGGGTCGTCTGCGCCCGCCGGCCGTGGTCGCTTGTTTGACGCTCTTCGCCATGATGTCACCTTTGGGTGTGGGGCTGGGGACAGCGGTAGCAGCAGGCGCGGGAGCACGGCAGCGGTTGTGCCGAGGGGTGCTGGAGGGGTTGGCAGCTGGGACCTTCCTTTATATCACTTTTTTGGAGATTTTGCCCCAGGAGCTGGGGGTCCCCCAACATCGCATCCCCAAGGTCATCCTGCTCCTCGCTGGCTTCGCCCTTGTCACCGCCATCCTCTTCATCAAGATCTGAGACACCCCATCCCCAGAGTGGGGGATGCCCCCCTCCCAACCCCAATGCAGGACGCCAGGGAAGGGGGTTCCCCTCTGCACTCCCTCCTCTGTGCAAATGCCAAAGTGCCGCTTCAGGTGCTGGCCCCGGCCCCCATGTGCACCCCGGGGTGGGAGTGGGGGTCCTGCCTGTGGGGACACCCCGCCCCGTGAGGCTCAGCCCCGTGCCTCAGTTTCCCCATCTGTACAGGGGGAACAGTGCTGTCCCCCTCCACGGGACCCCAGGATGGGGGTGGGCTGAGTGTGTCGTGCCCCCCCACACCCACAAGTGCCCTTACAGCGTGGGGTGCAGAGCCCCAGCCTTCCCCCCCCTCCGGCTGGGGAGAGGCGTTGGATGAAGCAAATAAAAGACTGGACCTGACGTGGTGCCTCTGCCTGGGAGGGGGCTGGGGGGGGGAGGCGCAATACTGGGAGGGAACGACAGTGTCCGGGGGGGATGGGGGGGGCCACAGTGCCCCCCTCCATGTCTGTATGTGCTGAGGGGGTCCAGGCACCCCCAGTTTTGGGGGGTGGGGTCTGCTCTGTTCCCAGCCATGGGGGTGGGGGTGACCCGGCTGTACCCCCCCAGCTCTAACCCCGTCCAGCATTACCCCCCC